GACCAGCCCCCCCCAAACTCCCGACCCATCCAACCCCCGTCCTTGTCCCCTGACCAGGGCCAGCTTTAAAGAGCCGGGATTGCGGGGCTTGGGGCCGGGCTGGAGGTGCTCGGCCGGCGCTGCTGGGGCCCGAGCCGGGGGTGCTGGGGCCCGAGCCGGGCCGGGGGTGCTGGGGCCCGAGCCGGGCCAGCGCTGCTGGGGCCTGAGCTGGGCCGGGTCCAGGCCGGGGGTGCTGGGACCCGAGCCGGGCCGGCACTGCTGGAGCCCGAGCCGGGCCGGGGCTGGGAGTGCTGGGGCCCGAGCTGGGCCGGAGCCGCTGGGGCCGCCGGGCGCCGCTCGGCCAGGGCTGCGCCTCCCCGGAGCTCTCCTCCTCGCGCCCCCCCCACCGCCCCATCTTACCTGCTGCTGCCTCCCGCTTGCCCCTGCTTCTTTTCAGACTTCCCGCGAAGATCTGATTGGCGGGAAGCAGGGGAGGGGGAGGAGCAGGTGGGCGGAGCGTTCGGGGCAGGGAAGGAGGGGGAAGACAGCTGCGGGCCGGACAGCGTGGTAAGGCTGCAGGGGATGCGGGGAGCCGGGAAGGGGCTTTGGCTGCCGAGCGGCACTTGGCCGCTGCTTTTCTATCTATAAATAGCCGACCGGGGGGAAATCCCGGACATTTTTAGATTTTTAAAAATCCCCCCCGGACGGCTATTTATAGACTGAAAAGCCGGACATGTCCGGGGAAATCCGGACATATGGTAGCCCTAGCACTGCTGCTGCCAGGGCACTGCCTTCAGAGCTGGGCACCCGGCCAACAGCCGCCACTCTATAGCCACCCAGCTCTGAAGGCAGTGCATAAGTAAGGGTGGGAATACTGTGACCTAAGTTCCCTGTAAGCTGCGCTGCCATGCAGCAGCCTATTTAGCGCTGTGCAGGCGCTCAGGGAACCCATCCACAGATCTGCCATGGCTGGGGAAGGGGCGCCCTTGCCTTGGCCACAACCTAGCCCAGCCCCCAACCTGCAATGGTTGGGGCGGCCCCCGGACCCCAACTATGCTGCATCCCGGACCTGCCACGGCTGGGGCACCCCTACCCCAGCCTGAACCCAGCCGGGGTGGCGCGGTGCAGCCCAGCCCCAGCTGTGGCCACGGTGGTGCAGAGCAGTGCAGCCCAGCCATGGGGCGGCACAGCCCAGCCCGGCCCTGCTCAGCCTGCCCTGCCAGGCTCAGACCTAACCATGGCAGTCCAGCTTGGACCCAACCCTGGGTGGCCCAGACCTGCGGGGGCCGAGAGCTGGGCCAGGGGCGCCTATCCTGCAGCCCCAGCCTCGGAGCGTCCATGGCGGGGAGAGGTGCCTCTCCCCCCAGCCCAGGTGCTGCTGTGGGGAGAGAGCTGTGGGGGAGAGGCCTGGTAGCCCCAGAGCACCCTCCTGCACCCCAAACCCTTCATCCCCAGCCCCACCCCAGAGCCCACACCCCCAGCTGGAGCCCTCCCCCCAATCTAACCCTCTGCCCCAGCCTTCTGAGTCCCCACCCACACTCCAAACCCCTCCACCCCACCTCCACCACATGAATTTTGTTATGTGCACAAATTTGAAAGTGATGTGTCACACATCACCTCCATATTGGTGCACATAACAAATTCATTCCGCACATGGGTGGGAAAAATTAGAGGGAACACTGACCGTGACCACCCCTAAAATAACCTTGTGACCTCTGCAATTCCCTTTTGGGTCAGGACCCCAAATTTGAGAAACGCTGGTCTCCCTCGTGAAATCTGTATAGTGTAGGGTAAAAGCACACAAAAGACCAGATTTCATGGGAGGAGATCAGAGTTCATGGTCTGTGATGCGTTTTTTTGGTCATGAATTTGGTAGGGCCCTAGCAATAAGGAAGGACAATAGTACACCAAGTGGATTGGGAAAGAAGACCTAATAGACAAAATGTCCCTCCCCACTACCCCAGGGTGAAACACATTGTTCACTCTCTGCAGAGTCTAGGAACAGGAGCTTCACTCTGGCACGGGAAAAGATATCTTATTGTCCTGATCCTTTTAGCCAACAACAGGGTGTCCTGCTGTTCCTAGCAAAACATTAATCACATCTCTTTATTGAGTTTATGTGCACGCTTTTGATTTTCAATGAGAAAGGCTCAGCATAAGCCCTTCTAGGAAGTATATTATAAGTCTCCCAGACTTAGAATAGCAGAGACAGAGGAAAAGAGGTTGTTGTTCAGGACTGAGGTGTTTCAGAAGAGTTGTGTTGTGATCCAGGAATAGAATAGCAAGGGGTGTTACAGGTCAGGGT